AGCTCAACAGTGAAGAAAAACCAGGTGAAAAACCATACGAAATGCTCTAGACGGGAGCACTACCCGATCTTAATGGTCATATGGCGAAATGAAGGGCGTGCTTGGACGACTTCTCAATCGCTGACATCAGCTCATTTCCTTTACCACCCCACCATTCAGAAAGGAAGGAGTACTGGAACAGCCAGCATCAGGGCTATCACGGCGCCATTAGAAATGAACGCTGGGCGTGGCGTAGGACAATGGGCGGCGCGCCGCCATCGTCAGAAGCGGTCAGCGTCCCCATAACGTTCTATGGTTACAGGGCTTCTGTCATTCGGAAGCTCTCGCTGTTAGGATCCAAAGGTATTTTCCATCGCATTTTCTGGGTAAGCATCTGAGGGGGAGAAAATGAACAAAAGAGAGAAGGAAGAAAGGGAGGAAAAGGAAGGAAGAAAAAAGAATCATGATCAATTGCATGATGATCAAGACAACCAAGAAGTTCCAGCAGACAAAAAACCTTTTAGGATGATTCCTGCCAAAAGAACCGGGAGCAAGGGATTCACGCTAGGTCTAACTTCGAGGCAACAGATTACCAAGTATTATCAATTAGAAAAAAAACTCACTCTACTTATGTCTATATTATCAATTAATCCATTTCCTTTCTCCTCTTTCTTCTCCTTTACACTTTCATCATTGACATCTGCGCTTGGTGACGTCGACTCCTACGATAATTGATTTTAAAGCAAGTGAATTATAAAAAGGGGCAAAACAAAAAATATGTGCAAACTTTGTTGCACAAACATTATAGTTTTACAGTAAACAAGTAATTCACACCAAGTAAAGCAGTGAACGGTTGAAGAGCTAGAAAGGATCGTTTCAACATGGAAAATTAACAACTGTACAATAAGAATCTATAGAGAAGGATAGTGAGAGGTATAATAAGATAAAACAATTAAAACATTTAAATATATAGAACCAGCCTCTAACTTTTGAGAATAGACCAACCTTTGTCGATTCTGATTCTTTAGAATCCGAAGAAGCCGCATTGATAGCAGATGATGAGATTTCGGTATCCGGCATACTATTTAGTAAACGAGAATTATAGCAATTCGGAACGAGTTCTACTGCCTCATTCAGAAATTTAACTATTCTGCAAATAAGAGTTAGTTTATACGAGACCACTCAAAGAAACGAGGAGCCAGGAATAAAAAAAGAGCCGGCGTAAACATTCACAAGAATCACCAGTGCGGTCAAAGAAACTAACAGAAGAGCTCAAAATACAACCTAACCCCGGGAAACCCAGGGTTTTTCTTCCGATCCAATGAAATTCCTGGGATGAATGTCTCTAGGAGGCCTAAAACTCGCTCCGTTGGCAATCGACCAACTCCCTACGTCACCGATATTGTTGACAACGTTCGAATGTGAACGCTGACGCAGCCGCGTCGCCTTCCGAGCCATTCCAAAGGCGGTCCGACGACGATCTCCGCTGGCTTCAAATCGCTGTGTGGGGCTGCCCCTCACATTTTGGTGAGTCACGATTGCTGATGAAAGTCTTCGATGAAATTTAACGGGCTTCCACTCTGCTGATAGCATTTCTGCCTGTTCTACGCAGGTTTCGCTGTCTATAAGAGTATTTTCTCTTTATCAAGCAGTTTTTTCCTCATTAATCGTGGGAGAGGTCGAGGGCAGACAGGTCACACCATTTTCTAGAACGCCATTGGTAATACCTGGTCAGGGAGAGGGGGTGTTTCTGACATCGAGAGAAATTCTCTTTTCGGTTTTTTTTTGTCGTTTTACGACAACAACACCATTGGTTGGTGAATCCTCCTGTTTCAGACCCTTTCAGGCAGTGACAAAGGCAAGAAGCTCCCAAATCAATTATAAGGGATCTTAGAGGGTTCAACCTATCCAATTGTCCTGAGGCCGATTCGACGCTAATGTAGTTTGGTGGGGGCAGTCTCCATGGCTTCCCTACTTCCTTCGCTTAGTGAAGGCTATGAGACTATTCCGCTGCGACTCTGGTCATCTGCACTCTAAGCCAAGGCCTTTTCAGGAGAGGAGTATAGTGAAGCGGTCGAGTGTCCCCCTAAGACGTTTGCACCGACGATTCTGCTTGGGTTTTTTGATAGGTGACGCCCAGTGTTAAACATACGTGAATCTGCGACAGGAGGGGTCGTATTCGCTCTTTCCGGGGGAGGGTCAGATTTGCAAAGGTCATTACTCAACACAGCGGCGACCAAACTTGCAGAATGGGTGATGCGCTCGGAAAGGAAGTCGAGTACATGGCACATTCCATGGAGCACCTTTTGATCAGTCGAGTGGGGGAAGGTGGTGAAGACCACCCTCGCCCTTCTCCACTTCAGTTCTCTGGGGAAAACGGGGAAGCGATTTCTGGAAAACTATGAGATGTAGTTGGAAGCCGAGA